TCTGTAGAGAGCAGAGCAGAAAGAGAGGAGCACCTCCCTCACCCTGCTGTTCACACTTGCTTTGATGTAGCCACGGTTACAGTTGGCTTTCTGGGCTGCAAGCACACGACGCCAGGTCACCTTGAGCTTTTCCTCAACCAACAACTTCAAGTCCTCCTCCTCAGGGCTCCTCTCAATCTATTTTCTACTCAGCTTGGATTTTTGCTCAGGATTGCCCCATCTATCTTCCGGATCTTGAAGTTAGCCTTTTTGAACTTCATTCCGTATACAGAGTTTCATCACCTCTCCCTAGTTTTTAACAGCAATAACAAAAAGTAAATGTTTTCTTTCTTTTAGGAAACCTATGCCACAGACATTGAAAGCAGGAGAACTAGAAAATGTCATCAGCCGTTGTCAGGTCTGCATGAAGAGACCAGTCTAAACAATGGCCAGTCTTGACAGAGCATGAAACCCTGCTTTTATTGCAAAGAATTGCTTAACTTTGGAGAGCTATAATTTATTAAAGTCCAATGGAAATGCACCTGGAAAGAAAACTATGCTTGCCAATGCAGCACTGTGGTGAGGTAGGGCAACAGTTTGACTTTTGTCTTTGGCAAATTACAAAGCACTTTGTTGGATTAAGCTTGTAATGACACAGTTTTGGAGAAGACCCTGCAGACTGTCATCTCTAAGCTGCATCTTCATGATAAAATCTGTGGTATTGCCAATCTTTAATGAAGGACATTAATGCTGCCTTGTCGTGTGCTTTTCAAATGGCAAAGACAAACAAAATGCTCTAATATCAGCTTACAGATGATCAGTGTTCAAAGCAGGTATAATTTAAGATGAAAATCCAGCACTTATGAGAGACAGGTTCAATATGAAATATTTTCAGTGCACTTTTAAATACATATTGATTAATTTAGGGTTGGTTTGGCTTGGTTTTCTTGTCTGATAAACAAGCATTTCCCCACTTAGCTCACCTTTCCTTGGCTGGGAAACAGGCATACAGTATTATTTGTGTCACTGCAATAAGAATGACTTCCAGCTAGCCAGGAAGGAAGCTACACTGTGCGCTGGGTAGACACTACAGTGCTGATGTGCACTGGCTGTGCTCTCAAGTGACTTCAGCTAAGTGCTGCCTAATTGAAAGTGTAAGAAAACCTTCTTTAGACACCATGCTTTTGACATAGATTATGGGATCTTAAAAATTCTTCAGAACTTGATGGTATTGAGCTTTATTTTGTTCCCATGGTTTTGTCTCTACTAAAGAACAAACATTTAGCATATCATAATTTAAGAAATCAGCAGACTTTACAATGACTCTGTGGTTCAGGAGCTCCCACAGCATTACTGGGTTATTACAGAGCCTCCAGGAAGTAATCTGTATTTCATTTTCTTAATATTCAATTTGAAATATTTATCATGAATTATATACTATTTTGAAATATTGAGCACAAACTCCTTCAGATTTCATTTATTCCATCCAGTTAAATTCATGCATCCAAAACTGAAACAAGATTGATACTTAAATTGTACCACTGAGCACTGACTTAACAAGAGAACCCAACTGCAAATGAACATGAATACTTGAAAAGCACTTTCATTTACTCATGTAACTTATATAAAATTGTAGCTCCGATTTTTAAAAAATATTTGTAACATTGCACTTGCAAGGCTATTTAAAATTGTAATGTCAACATTTAAAATGTTAATATTTTAATACTTGCACAAATTATCAGAATTCCAGTATTTCGTTTTATAGTAGAAGCCTAATTCATCTGAAGAGTTCTGTAAATATACCATTTTAAATGTAAGGTAGAGCAATACACTGAAATAGCCAAGATTTCTCCTTCAGATCTTTTTTTAAGCCAGTGAAAGTTTGTATTGTTTCTGTTAAAATACTTGCATTATGTTTGTCTGTTTGAATTTTCAGTGTTAATCTAACTATGAAAGTTTCATCTGTGTTTCATGTCATTATCTTCTGATGGAGGTGACTTGAAGATACCATTTCCATGAACTAAATGAATATTTTAAAAGTACTGTTAGCTTGAACAGTTGTATGTTTGCAAGGTATAATTGTGAATTTGCAGGTTTTTATGAAGAATCTCTATGCAAATGCACTACTGATAAGAAGGTATCAATGTCAAGTTAATATTTAGTCTTTCATTTAAATAAGGTTTGGTGATGGAGGTGTTTTAAGACAGTCCCTTGTTAGATTTTTTTACTATAAGCTCTGAAATTTCTTTAAATACTCAAAGAAAAATTTTTGCCCATTGCTTGTTAAGATGTTTTTAATTAAGGCTCAGTGTAGTCACACACAGCCACTGTATACTGTGTATAACTGATGACTCAATTGTAAAGCTTATTAGCAAAATACAGGATATAAGTAGATGTGTAACATTAAAGACTGCTGGAAATGTTCAGTAGAGGGTAAAGTATAAAGAGAAGGGATTGTGGTTATAAAGTCAGAAGTATGTTACAATGTGTTATGTCTCATAGAATCACAAAATGAAAGGGACCTTAAAGATCATTTAGTTCCACCTCTCCTGCCATGGACAGGGACACCTTCCATCAGATCATGTTGCCCACAGCTACGGAGCATCCACAGCTTCTCTGGGCAACCTGTTCTGGTGCCTCACCACCCTCGCAGTGAAGAATTTTTTCCTAATCCCTAATCTAAATCTGCCTTCTTTTAGTTTAAAACCACTACCTCCTGTCCTTTTGCTGCGCTCCCTAAGAAAGAGTCTATTCCCCTCTTTCTTGTAGGCCCCCTTTAAGTACTAGAAGAGTAGCTATAAGGTCTCCTCAGAGTCTTCTCTTTTTATTTGGGCCAAACAACTCCAGCTTTCCCAGCCTGACTTTATAGCAGGTGTGCTCCAGCCCTCTGATGGTTATTGTGGCCATCCTCTGAACCCACTCAAACAGGTCCATGTCTTTCTTATGCTGGAGGCCCCGGAGCCCAATGCAGTGCTCTGGGAATTTATGCTTTGTTCTCAGTTTTGGATTCTGCTGCACCCTTATCGTGTGACCTTCAACAAGTTACTAAAAGTACAGATTTTCATAAATAGCTTTAGATTTTGAGTGCTCCAACTTGGGCTTTCTTTCAAGAGCATGCATCACTCACAGCTGCAGGGACGCATATCCAGCCCAGCTGATACACTGGAGCTGGACACTGAAATCCAAAGAAAAACTTGAAGAAAGTTGATCTTAATCTCTCTCTGGTTGTTGTGAGAATTAGTTAACTTGTCTGCAGATAATTTTAGAGTCTTAACAGGAAAGAGCTGAAGAGGTGCAAAGTGTTAATATATTGTACTGAAAGAAATAATGAGAAAACGATAGGAGGGAAAAAAAAAAAAAGGAAAAAAACAAAGCAAAGAAACCTTCTACTAAATGCAACCAAATAAAATATTTTGACTAAACAAAAGACCTATTTCACTTGTGGTGTTATTTGTTGTTCATTCCTCTCACTACTACTGATCTTTACCTATATAAAACATTAAGTGTATCTATAGTGATAGGTCAGCTGAAAGTGGGGTGAGGAAGCTGAGGAGGCCCTGCTTGCTCCGGCCCTGCCCTGGAATGCAGGCCTGCGTCCAGGCTCCAGCCCACACCCCGGGACCTGAGCCCTGCTGTACACATGGAATCACTGGTGAAGAAAATTCTAGCGTGCTTCAAGGCTTAGATTTTCATTATTTTAAAGGCAAAATTCATCTTGATAGCCCTAGAGGAAAGGGGATTGCTGAGGGGTACTCAGGAAAACAGCTTGTTTCAAGGAGGCCAAGTGAAGCATCCTGTATCTGCAGAGAAACAATGTATAATTTTCTGTGCTGTGTAGTTTTTATTTTTACCTTCTAATAGATCATATTTCAGATCGTTTGCCTCTGTGAAACGGTGCTTTTGGCATTTGTAAGGACGGAATTAGCAAGCTGCATTGACCTTGGATCAATATACACTTCAGTACTTCTGCCTCTGCTGCTCATTTTGACCTCTAAAACATAACCGTGGGCATTGAAAAAAAAAAATAGTGAAAAGAGGAAGCTTTTTTATCCTGTTAAAAAAAAATAATTTGCGCTACATAACAGCATTTCTCATTTCGCTGCCCTCGGGCTGCCGAAGGACAGCAGGGGCGGGGCGGGCGGTCACGGTGCTGCTTGGGAGCGAGTCGGGAAACGAGCGTTGTGGTTCGGATGTATTTTACATCGCGCTGACGAGTTTTACACGGTGCTAATTACGTAAGGTCGCAGAACGGCCTTTGCGAAGCTTAAACAAGGGCTGGAAGTTCTGAACTACGCGGTTCCTTGCCAATACCAGCCAGGCGCCACCAGCACGCATGCGCACCGCCCGCCTTCCCTCACTAAAAATGGGCGCCCTGCGGCGGGGCCGCAAGTGAGGCGCAAGGGGGAGCCGCTTCCGCCCGCTTTCCATCACGTGACACGCGATCCGCGGCCGGCAGTCCTTACGGCAGCCCGATGGGGTCAGCCCGCCCGGTGGCGGCGCCTCACCTGAAGGGTGCTTGAGGGCGCATTACGCCGCTGAACGCTCCCCCGTCCGCCGGAGGCAGCGCAGGAGTACGGCAGCGGCGGCCCGGCCGGGGCAACAGGCGGGCCGGGCAGGGCCGAGCGCGTTACGCTGCGTCTGGGTGAGTGCGCGCTGCTGGGCCTGGAGGGAGCGTCGCCGAGCCGAGCCGTGCCGTGCCGTGCCGTGCCCCCGCCACCTCCCGGCTGCCCAGGCCGTGCCTCCCCTCCCCGCAGGGTCCTGGATCCACGGCCGTCTCACCGCGCTGTGTTCTCCAGCGTTTCCGGTGTGTTTCTGTTAAGGAAAAAAGGTTTGGTTTCTTTTCCTTCTTTTTTTTTTTTTTTTTTTTTTTTTTTTTTTTTTTTTTTTTTTTTTTTTTTTTTTTGCATTGAAACCTGCTGGGGGTTCAGGGGTTCCGGGAGGCGCCGGAGCCTCAGAGGAACTGCGGGCAGCGGGGGGGAGGAACCGGGAGCGGGGCCGCGCTCAGCGTTCCGTGGCCGCGGTGTGCGGGGCGGTCGCGTCGGGCGGGATGAAGGATCGCCGGAGTTCGGCGCCTATGTGGTTCGACTGCACCTTGTCGCTTCCCGACGTTGTCTTTCTGAGCCACTTAATGCCCTTTCAGAGCCACTTAATTCTGTAAGTATAAGTTTTAAAATCTTCGTTGTGATTTTTTTTTTTAGTGTCTTCTGAAATCTGCCTAATGGCTGTGACAGAAAGCAGTGGATGGTTACGTTCCTGTTGAACGTCTGGGCGTTTGTTAACGAGCCCTGTTTGAAGTTCTGCTGCTGAAATGTCACTGTTTGTGGTTTTGCTGTTCTCTTGTGGGGAGAAAAAAAAATAAATAGGTTAAAAACTGAAATCGACTTGACAGGAAAAAAAAAGTCAGTGTTGATAAGCAGGTAAGAGTAAGAAGGTATTGAGGTGCTGTATGTATTCCTCAGCAATTACCACGTACAGCTGGACCCACCCTGCACTATTTAGTTTCTAGTTTATATTTTATATAGAACAGCTGTTCTGATTTGTCATTTTTTGCGTGCGCTTTATCTTACAGCTGGGAAGCAGCAGTTGTGCTGACTTACACACAAATCAATACCAAACTTCAGGGAAGCTGTGGTGTATAATAAACAGTGCTGCAGCGTAGTGATACCTGATGACAAACATCATAGCTGTCCTGGTACTTCAGAATAAGGAAGCAGACAAGCTGTGGGACATCTGTAGTCTGGTCTTGTGAGAGGTGGCTGCTCTGTGTGCTGCCTCCAATAGACTCCAATAGTAATGGGGACTTTAAGGTCTTCTTAAAATTGGTTCTTTGATATTGGCATCGTGATTATCTTAATGCTGTTGATCTGGAAGTGCTTTACTGATCATAGGCCCTGTTTGGGAAGAAGTACCTTTTGGAAAATGGAAATACTGGAAGTCTCTACCTGTCACTGGCTGATTCAGCCAACATTTCATGAGAGAGACAAATGTAGTTTGCAAGTCTGAAGGACAGGGCCAAAAAAAAAAAACAAAACTGTAAGAATCCTGAAGTGACAGAGCTGCTTATGCACCTCTTGAGCTCCTTTAGACAGCATATGCATATTTTGAAGTATTTAGCAAAGTGGGCTGTTCCAATTCCTTTTATTTGATTTGATTATTCAAGGCCAGATTGGATGGGGCCCTGGGCAGCCTGGTCTAGTGTTAAATGGGGAGGTTGGTGGCCCTGCATGTGGCAGGGGGTTGGAGATTCATGATCCTTGAGGTCCCTTCCAACCTGGGCCATTCTGTGTGATTAAATCTGTGTGTGATTTCAGGCACTTCCTTTAAGGATAGATATTTAAGTTTAAATAGAATGACGACCTTCTCCTTGATACCCAGTTCTGCAATGTGCTGAAATGAGTGAAGCTTTGAGATGAATAAATGTATTTCATTCGATCTGCAGTGACTGTAAGTCTTGAAAGTAACATCAAAGATCCCAGGACAGATTGCTAAGTGGATCATATCTTGGATGAGTGTATTTAATGCAGTCTTACTTAGACCATATCCTTCTGTGTGCTTAATTCTGCTGTCTGAAGATTGCTGTCAGTTTGAGGTTTTATTGATAGGGAAGTATTGTTTCTGTGTGATATTGTCAAGTATTAGTCTAATTACATGGCAACGAATAAAGGGGTCGTCCGGCTTCTTTGCATGAAAATAGAATGTGCAAAACAGATGGAGGTGCCATCTGACAGGATCACAGAGGCTGTTTCCTTGGGCGGGTCCTGAGAGCAGATGCTCTTTAGTGAAGCGCTGAGGGAAGAACCCAGGTTGTGTTTGTGCATCTGTGTGCACAGAAGAGCAGGTTATATTGGGTTGACCATGGTGGTATGCTGGTGGTGGTATGCAGCTCCCAAACACGAGGTGCTGTGTGTGGGCTCGTGCTGGTTGGTTGATGATGTGATTCGTGTTCTGTCTCACCTGCACTAAAACATTTTGTAGTCAGGGTTCTGTGTGTTCAGCTTTCTAAGGCACAAGCAAAGCACAGATGTAGCCCTGCTGTCAAAAATAGCAAAAGAATGTCGCTGTAATTATATTGGCAAAAAATGCCCTTTTGCAGGAATAGATTGCTTCACTTGGGGAGCCACTTCAAGCAGTGCCAATAACAGATTTCTTGCTGGAGTAAGCTGTTTCCCATAGATGGTTTTCCCATACTGACTGTATTTGCATACTGTGCATGTGCATAGATGTATACAAATAAATATTCCCATTAACCCTAACAGTAAAAGTAACCGATGTCTCTGTCTGAGCTGAGCTACAGCTGAGGCCCCCAGCTGTTGACTGGCTGAGGTTTCTCACAAGTGAGGCTTCTTGCAGCTCACAGTTTCCTCTGGGAGCTGCTCTGCAGCCTCATTCAAACTGTGTCTCCAGGGTTTCTTTCTTAACCCAAGCTACGGCTACTATCTCTATCAGAGCTACTGATGAGGTCCCTCGGCCATTGCCCCAGTGAAAATGTTCTGTCAGCCATTTGAGTTCCCTCTCTAGCCCATAGTTTCCATCAGTGGTCCCTTTCCTGCCGCTCTACATGCACAGCTCTAGGATTTCTTTTTCTCTCAATCTTAAACCAGAGAGAGATCCCCTTAGTTGCTTTCCATGCTTCTGTACATTGCTATTACAGCTCATGGTTTCCTTTTGGCAGGATGAGTGGGGCTGCGTTCCCATCACCAGCTGCTGAGATGGCAGAAATCAATCGCCTTCAGTATGAGATGGAGTACACCGAAGGGATCAGTCAGCGCATGAGGGTCCCAGAGAAACTCAAAGTGGCTCCTCAGAATGCTGACCTTGAGAAGAGCATCCCAGAAGGATTTCCAAATGCCAGTGTAACTATGCAGGTTCCAGAGCGGATTGTAGTGGCAGGTATGTCTGCATCTCAATATGGTAAAAACAGGCCAAAATTTAAATCCCCCAAATTTCTGAAAGGACAGAAATATATTTTTAAAGAAAAACTTATAAAATGTTTTCCAATTCTCAAACAGTTGTTGCTCATCAACTTTGGCCTAGGAAGTACCTCAAATTTTGAAAATGCTTTGTGAATAGTTTGGTGTAACTTGCGAAGGAAATAGTTAACAAGAGAAACTTGCTTTCTATTGACAACTGATGTTCTTGCAGGTAATAGTGAAGACATTCCACTTTCCAGGCCTCCAGACCTCGACCTTCTTCAGTCTACTCCATTCAAACCACTGGCATTGAAAACTCCTCCCCGTGTTATTTCTCTTAGTGATCGACCACTAGATTTTTTGGACTTAGAAAAACCTCCACAACAGACCCCTCAAAATGAAGAGGCTAGTACTTATTTTGCTTTTTACCTGGTTGAGAATTTTTTTTCTAAAGCAAAATGAAATAAAGATTTCTCTGCTGTAGTGCAGGTCTATCTGCTGCAATCTAAGTTAGGAAAATACAAAATATCTTTATAAGCACTGTAGTTCTAACTGTGACCTTTAAGTTCTGTATTTAACTGACAAAATGACTGGTGGTTTTAATTTGCAGTTTTGTTATTGGAACACATAGTGAGATGCTATAGGCATGACAGTCTGACAAATGATATAATACATAGAAATAGTGAGTTTTAACAGAAGTCTAAAAAACATACTTTAAAGAAGCATATGGCAGTGGCATGCAGGTGAATGATGTGTAATTGGCATCTTACAAACTGGAAAATACTAGTGAAGTTGTGCATCCTGTAGACTTGTTCATACTTGTGGCATTGGGTTGTATGGATTGATAACAAAAGGATGGCAGTGAGTCTGGAACTTGGTTTTACATGTACCAGCATCAGATCCTCTCATCTGATGCCTTCCTCCTAATCACCAAGAGACCCATGGAAACACAGAATGGCTTGGGTTGGAAGGGACTTAAAGATCATCTAGTTCCAACTCCTCTGCCGTGGGCTGGTTGCCACCGCCAAATCAGGGCTCCATCTAACTTGGCTTTGAACAAGGATGGGATACCCACAGTCGCTCTGGACAGCCTGTTCCTGTGCGTCACCACTCCCTGAGTAAAATATTTCTTCCTAACATGTAACCTAAATTTCCTCTCTTAGTTTAAAGCGGTTCCCCTTTTATCACTATCAGGTCATGTAAAAAGTCTCCATCCTGCTTATAAGCTCCCCTAAAGTACTGGAAGGCCTCAGTGAGCTTTCCTGGAGTCTTCTCCAAGCTAAACAAACCCACTTCCCTCAATTCCTCATGAAGAGGTGCTCTGGCCTTACAGTCTTCGTGGCCCTCCTCTGGACTGCTTCAACAGCTCCAGTTTGCCTTTGAGGACTGAACTAACTTAACTCTCCAGTGCTGTTTTTAGATCCTGGGATTTCCTGTCTTTCATCTCCCTTTTGTTCCCCTCTTGTGCAGGTTCGTTCAGTGGGAAGACTGAAGAGAGAACGTTCCATGAGTGAAAATGCTACTCGACAGAATGGCCAGTTGGCCAGAAATGATTCCATGTGAGTAAAGCAAGAGGGTACAGGGACACAACTACAGCTTTACTACGTATCTCTTTTGTTCTTTATCTCCTCATGCTGTTTTTTTTGTTTTGTTTTGCTAAGTATTGTTTTTGTGTGCTGTAGCAAGTATATAATTTTGAACACTAGAAAGCTAGCATTTTTCTTAATTTCTATGCTTCTGGTACAGTGAGGGTTTTCTTGGAGTTTAGAGGTGGAGGTGTTTGTGGGCACATGGTTGTTTCATGAGTTATTGTGAATTGCTGCATTAGGAGATTTTTCAGTTTCTGAACTGGTGTAATTTTTTTTTTTTTCCTGAATTTTCAGGTTATTTCAAAGAAATTGAGTTATTTGTGTGCATTAAAATGTTCCCAGTTATTGCTGTTGGTATCACATAATGGTTTGAATTAATAGACAAAGAAATATGGTTATTTCTCATGAGTATGAGAGTAAGTCGTTTTTCATTGGTGTCTGTATACTTTGTGGATTGGGATCTGTGAGCATGTATCATCATCTCCTGAGACAAAAATGGCAAGTAGATTTAGAACTGGAAAGTTCATTTACTGATACCATCAGAGGTAGCAGTTCTTATGGTACTTTCTAAAGACATGCATGTCTATGTGTTCCAATTAGATACAGTAGTCATTTGATTGCTCTCAGTATATTTTGAGTGATGGCATTCTTCCACCTGGCAATAATTTTACTTTTATTGCAGTGTAACACTTAATCTTCCTATATATGTATGTATTGATCAAAACAATTCCTAATATAGCTACCCTAAGAAATGCTGCTTTAATGAAAGAATCTGAGATGTGAGACCTAACAATGGGATTCATTCTGTGTTGGACAAATGAAGACTCAATAGTGCAATATTGCTAAACCACCTTAAATTTAGTTCAGGAAATAAGCACATGACCTACTTAGGGTTCTACTTATTTTTAGTGTTTAAAAAAAAAAAAGAAAGTAAACTGTCCTAGGAATGCCTGCTCTCTTGTATTTACAGGAGTACCAAGAGGTACTCTATATTCTAGGTTTCTATCTACCTGTGAGTCAATTTGTCTAAAACTGCTGAAATGTATTCAGATGCCTATTTCAGGAATTACAGTTTTCCTTCTCTTCCTCCAGATCTTCATGGAAATACTGTTGCTTATCTTCCTTTTCTTAATCAGGCTTTTTATACAAGCTCATAGATCTCACATATCTACATCTACTGAACTTTAAGTTCACTGAGCTGACGAACTCGAATTCACATCCATAAGCTGCTGATCAGCTCAGTCTCCAGGTGTTTTAGCAGCCTAGTAAGTGTCCAAGTTCCCTTTGACATTGGTCACCCAGTTAAAATATGTCGGACTGGATATGCTGGAACTTTGCCACAGGAATGACCTTCAAATGCCTGTTTGATGGTTTGCATACAGTGCATGCAGGAATGGATGGTCTTCATGTGGTGGAAGTTGCTTGTGAAGAAGTTTAGCACTGTGATGTTACTTTTTCGATCCTTGCTGGAGGAAAAGCAGATGGTGAATGAATTCTTGCAGTTTCTTGAAATCACTTTATCCATGCTCCCAACATTTGTTTGCGCTCCCTAAAGTCACGGGCTGCGTCTGCCTAGCCAGCAACCTAGAAAACTAGCAAGAGCAGCTCTGCCTGGATGTGTCCCATCCCTGTGAGACTTCTCATGTCTGAATTTCTTCAATCCAGAAATCTTAAATTTGCAAAATTCATCTCTGTGCTTTACTGTTCTACTATATGTAGAATTACTGGTTTAAAACTGTCTAAATGTTATTTGCCAACATAATTGCTTAATCTATTAGCAGTCCTTCAAAGAGGCTTGGCAGTGCAATACAAACCTGATGTCCTCTAAATTTAAGAGGGACGTGATGAGTGAACTAAGTCACTGCTAATTTTCACAACTCCATTTATTGTATGCAAGAGCCAGGAAATTGTGACACATCTGGAGATGAGTTTTCCTGTCTTGATGCTTGTGCTAGCAGCTGCATAATGTTAAATCCAGGTTATTTTACTAGGCTTTTCCAGTCTTCTGGAAGAATTATGTAAACTTACACAAGATTCTGGATCAGTCTGTTTTGTTTCTATGAAGAGTAACATCTAAGTGATACTAAGCCTGTTGTATCTGTGCTCTCTACTGATAATGTGGAAGAACCTGAATTTCTTCACTGCAGCATTCCACATTTGCTGGCCTGCAGAAAATGCATTTTTTTTTTTTCTTATGACAGAAGTTATGCTGGGCCTAGCATATAGAACATCTGTTCTGATACCACTGAGATTCCTAGAAATGCTTCTTTTTTGTCATCATTGCTGCTTTTGACGCTGTGTGGTCAAAAAAGAAAGCACTTTCAAAATGCTGTGGCATTCATAGCAATTCTGTCATTTCTGCCTCATTTAGCTTGTATCAATCTGCAGGTGGAGAATGCAACTACAGACCTGGCTAATGCTCAGGAAAATGTTCTATCAATACATATTATGAAAATACTCTGTTCAAGGTGAAATTCTGCGTTTGTGTGAGCCGTGCCTTTTGCACCCAGAACAAAAGGCTTGGTATCTCTTGACTCTTATCATTTAGGCCTATGGGACATATATTGCAAACAGCAAAAGAAAAAAGTAAGCTTTGTGGAAATAGAAGTGGTGATTCTATGAACAAAACTAATAAGATAGCATTCTGTTTTCACTGTGGTAGCCACTCAGAGACACTGCTGATGTGGATATGTTCTGATGTTGAATGAGATAGGCAATGCAAGCAAATAAGCCTGTTTGATGTTAATTACGCTACCTCAGATGGTACTGATTATCACATAGCCTGTATAGATGGCTATTTCTTTTAGAGATTCTTGGTAAACATGATTAATTTCTTCTCAACTTCATTCCCTTTGTTATCGATAATAAGCCGTTTAAATAGAGAAATTTTACTAAAAATGCATTCTTTGCACTACAGAAAACTTAAGTGTACACCTGTTATGTCTCATGTAACTTCAACTTTAATTTCTTTACCTCCCAGAAATAATATTTTTCCACTATTGTACAAATACACAAGAAACTAGCTGCTCTTGAAGTTCTTGTCTCCAGTGGTGTTGGCTGATAGTATTATCTTTGCTCTAATTACTGCAATGGTACAATGCTGCTTCATCAAAACTGGCTTGACTTTTAAGTTGTTTTCATGTTTAGGTAGTTCTGCAATAAAAAGTACTGCAACAAAGACCAGCACCTTCTTCCCATGGGTTTTTCTGGAGTCTAGTTCACATCTTCATAGGAAACACAGTCCCATCTTTTACACTCATTTCAAATTACATCAAATATTTCATTCTTATAAAAGTTGTTTTTTTCTTTTGTCTATTTTCCTGATAGATGAGGTAGCACTGAGTAGACTGTCCCTATTGAAAAAGCACATTGGATACTGCTGTGTAAAAACTTTATCTGCTTGCGAGAGAGTATAATACTCAAGTTTTAATCTGCAACAGTATTGTCTTCATGCGAGACAAAATACTCGCATGTACTGTGCAAAATTCCATTTCCTGACCTACAAAAGTGACAAAATCAAATGTTCTGGAATAGATTGAGGCAAAGGAATTGGCTGTGTTCTTTACCACTATGTTCTCCGTATGATATAGATAAGGTTTTTTTTCCTCTTGTTCTCTGAGTCATTTTTTTTTTCTTCACTCTCTCTTGTCATCCATTTGCATGCATTTCCAACAGTTTGTTGGGAGTTTGGCTTTGTTTGAGAAAGTAATTCTCAAATGCTCAAAAACAAAAACAAAAAAAAAAATTGAGACTAACAAGTGGGCATCTCCTTGTACAATAACTTTCTACCTATTTAGCAATATTAACTGCTCTTTAAATGGCATTTTTATAAAGGATGCTTACTTAAGAGATTACAATTATTATTCAAGGTGGCACAGATCAGATACTGTCCCAAGAAATAAAATGCCACGGTTCCAGTCACCTCTTTCGACTAAGGATTGCACGTAAGCCAACATGTTACCTGGTATATGAAAATCAGGAGTGTGTTTTTAAGTATGTAGCTCTCTGCAATACTAACTTTCACACTAAGTATCTGTAACTTAGAATATAAAATTGAAACAGCCTTTGCTACACTGAATATGTGGTTTCTATTTCTGTTGCATGCTTTACCAAGCTTTCCCAAATCACCGGTGTGAGAAACGTAGCGAGAAATTAGTGGTGGAGAAGGAAAGGCAGAGCTTCAACTAACAATTGATTTTATTAATAAAAGAAAAAAGAGAGAAAAGAAAAGCTTTAGTCTGGCAGTCTTGTTCTTTGACTGTGATTACCTGGAGAAATGAAGCTATTTCTTGGCCATTGCTAGTCAGTGTTGAATGCAAAGGTTCCACTGTGAATCATGAGTCAACAAGCCACTGAGATTGGATCAAAATGGGTGGATTGTGTGATTTTGGTTTCTTTTTTTTCCTTCTGCTCCTGCCTTTCCCTTTGAGCTCTCTAAGGAGATGCACTTTTCTATTTCATAGCTTGAGAAATCCTGTTCTTCGTGCAGGTTATGGGGTAAAAGGTTGTGGTATGCACGTCTTTAATGATAGTGTAATCTGTGGCTGAATCTAAACTAACTTCTAATTTAAATCTATTTACCCTTATTTGATATTCCTAGAGCTAAGAGAAACAAACTCTGTATTTCTCACACCTTTTTAGAAGGCTTTGGGGACACTGCTGGGAAGGTAGACTGCTACTGAACTCCTTCATAGTAATTTCTATAATTCACTGTTCTGAAATTTACTAGTGTTTTTAACCAGAAAGTGCTGAAACAGTGACCATCTGGGACTGAATGTGAAAACTGCTCTGAAATTTTAAATGAAATTGCATTGAAGACTAAGAACATTCCTCTACCAATTGAAAAGATAAGGGTGTAGCTACAATTTCTGATAAGTAGTCTTGTTCAATGTTAGAGAATTATTTTTGTGTCATCTTGGCTGGTTTGTGTATCAGATGTTTACTTAACTAAATTGCTTTTCCGTGGCTTCTGATGTAGTCCAAGGGGCTAGTGCATGCTTATAGATGAGTAATCCTGAAACAGGAGCACAGAGGAAGAATTCAGCTTCTTCATTTGCCCCCTGCATCCCGTATTCACTAACTCTGAGATTTGAGCCCTTTAATTATTCTTGCTTTCAGAAAGGAAGAAAGGTCTCTCCTAAACTGTGTACTTCAGAACAATAACAAAATTAGCAGTAGTCCTTACAGAGAAAATTTGACTAATTTAATGTTGCTGTGCAGTTTATTTCATGTCCAGGAGGAAATATATTCAAAGAAATGAGTTTTTCTCTAGTAAAAAGAACTCTTGAATGAAGCACCTCTTGAAGCTGCCCATAAACCAATGACTGTAGAGTATTTCAGTGAATTAGGAACTACCTGGTTCTGCAGTCTTTTTTTTTTTTTTTTTTTTTTTCCTGAACTGTGGACTTTCTACATGTGAGTTTCTTCTAGGGAGTTTTGTGTAGTTTTAGTTCAGTAGTTGTTTGTTTGTTTGTAATTTTTCAGCATCTACATAATACTCTGCAAATAATATTACTAGGGTTATTTACAATAAAAGTATTTTGGACAATGTGAATTTTACAGTATTTTATGGTTTTCCATATGTTTATATACTGTCACTTCTTTAAAAGCTCTCATTCAGCCTAATGTCTGAGATGATAAACAAGGAAAATTAGCTGTGTAGTATGAAGACATATTATGACATCAAGGCTTGAGCTCTTTTTTCCTTTCCTTCAAGCTGGTAAATCCATACAGGAATAGAAAATCTCATGAATTTACTGCAGTAACAATATTTCCCTGCTTCTAGTGATTTTTCTACTGACTACTGGGATTTCCAATGCAATTGAAGAAATAAATTTGTGGCTGTGACCACTGCTATTGATGGCAAAATGGAAATCATCGTAAATGTGAAAGAGAGATCAATTCTGCAACTCATAGAAAAAAATAAAATATAGAAATGTTTATTTTTATTTTTTACTTTTGGCTACACTTATTCTTCAGCAACATGAGAAGGTATTTGCACTTTAGCTGATAAATACTGACTAATGTCAGTCAAGCACCAGCCACTGCTGTCTTTGCATGTCTCTAGGAGCTTGGGATGGCTTTAACTGTTCTGTGGCTGAAGGGACATCTGCGTAACATGCTTTGAATCTCTTTTCAATTGAATTTTCTTTCTTTCTCAGTTTTGTAGTCTTGTTGCCAGCCAGTCACAAAGCAGCTCTGTTCAAAACAGAGCATTAAAGGGCTGTGACCCACCTGGAAATTATCTACCTTTCAAACCCATTTACAATTGCTCAACCATTCAGGGTTTGATTAGTTTCATAAAAATGCTAACAAATGTGGAAAGATTTGTATTCTAACTCTGGTAACTTTGCCACTTCTATTTTGCATCAACAGTTCAAGGAGTGTTGAAATAAGAATGTTAATCTTGGAATAGAAACTATCCCAAGATTTAAAGGGTACAGTGATGCACGCTTTCTCTTGTATGTATGTTGTATGTATGTGTTAATGTAAATGAGAAAGCTAACAGAAGTGATTTCCTCTTTTAAAAAAAAAAAAAAAAAACGCCTCACTTAAGAATCTTTGATTAAAAGAAAAGAAAACCTTGGTGTTTGAAGGGCAATGTGGATGATGTCAGGTTAAACTTGAGGAAAAATGACTTAATCAAATGCAGTTTATCTAAATTTGCTTCTGTCTGGTAGAGGTAAGGTTTGTATAATGCTTTAAACCAAAATGCTCATCCTTCCATCTCAATCCTCTGTATTTTTTGTAAGGGTCTTATTTTTTTTTTTTTTTTTTTTTCATCATGGCCAAAAACTCAGATCATGTAACTTATCCCTGGGATATGAATTCTGTGCTGAAAGGCTAGCAATAGCCTTTAAACGTCGTTCATGTGCAAATCAAAATGTTATCTTGATCTTTAGTCACAACATGAAGAAAAAATTGTTAAAGAGTCTGCGAGGTTCTCCTTGCTGAGAAAACTTGTGCTTTTAAAAATACTTTCTCATTGGTGTCAGTGAGGACTTGTCTGCTGATTTTGCCAGGCACGGAATTGGCTGGGCAAGGCCTTCCTAAAACTATGCAGTGTAACCCTTCAGAATTGCGTATGTGAACATAGCTCACAATTCCTTACACCTGGAATTTGGGGATGCCACCTTCATAATGCTGAGAGAAGGGTAAATTGAAAGCGAGCAATAAACATTTTGAAATGGGTGCTATCTGAAAAGTTTGGTGTTTTTTGTTTTTTTTTTTTTTTTAATTAAAAATCTGACTACAGTATTTCTTTCTTCATTTATTGTGCTTATATGAACAGTGTGACACCATCAGTGCAACAGGCTCGTGTCTGTCCTCCCAATATGTTGCCTGAAGACGGAACTAATCTTTACTCTGCTCGTGGCATTTTATCGTTTATCCAGTCTTCCACACGTAGGGCTTACCAGCAGGTCTTGGATGTGCTGGATGAAAATCGCAGGTGATTGGTTGTCACTGATTCTGCCAGCTTCTGCTGCTTTCATTTTCTTTCTCCTTTTAGTGGAGTGTGGTTTATGTTTACAAAATAATGAGATGAAATTATTTGCTTTTGCTTTCCTTTGCGTTCACTATTCATAAGCAATTTAATTGTCCAAAATTCACATTTCAAAATAATGCTGTATTTCAATAAACAGAAGCAAGGTTTCCTTAGAACAAAAATTGTAAGAGCTAATCTGCGACTGGGAGGGATTTAATTTTTCCAAGTTGTCAGGTTTTTTCTTCAATTAATGCCTTATCTCAAACCTGCAAATTTATTAACCTTATCTACTACTTTTATTTTGGTGAGTAATGGTGCAAATCAATAAGATTGGGTTGATGTTGCCATAAATCAAATGTACAGCAACTGGATATGTTTCTGTGCAAACGTACAGAAACTGGATATGTTTCTGTGCAAGGCATTGGTTGCAGATGCTGCTTTTGATAATATGTTGAGACTTTAGCTCTGTCAGTTTGTATAATGAATACTTATCTCTGGTTGATACGTGACTGATGGTGACCACTTCACTGGATGTTGGGGGGGGGGGGGAGGGGAAGAAAAACCAATATATACAGTTTCTCCTTCAATTTATAATTTTTTTGTTTCTATGAGTAAGCTGATACTTTGAGAACTGATGAGCCCAAAGAAGCCTTGTTGTGATCAGTGTAGTTCCATTCTTTTCAAGTGGAGTTTTGCCCACTTGCTGTGTCCCTGTGCTGTTTTGATTTGACACTTCTGAGCACGACTAGAATGACATGTTTATCGCTGCAGAAGCATCTATAAAGACTAAAAATGATTAAATTTTCTTAGCAAAAGCAATTTTAATTTCAATACTGTGTTTGTCACAGAGGTTCAGATAAGAATCGCTGCATTTTGTAGTTCTTGCAGAGAGTTTGAATTATAGAAGCAAACTGCCATGGGTGCTGGGATGAACTGCTCGTTCCTCCTGCAGTCCTTAAGCTGGGCTGTACTCAGAAGTTCTTTCAAGTTCCTTATCTGCCTCTGGTTTTGCTGTAGTACCAGTAGCACTCCTAATATTCTATAAAGTGAAGTGATTTGCTTTCTAGTTGTTTTGGTAAGGAAGTATGACCATCAAGCCAATCTTATTGAAAATGCCTGTTTTCACAGTTGTACCTCCTGTAGCTCACCACGTTTACTGACAGGAATGTACGTCAATGCCTGTATTAATATTACCAAATCACACAGAACTCCAGTCTTGCTGATCTTTATGCCTTTAACCTGGAACTTGGGGAAAAAAAATGAAAAATGAAAATAAAAATCAAGCAAAACACAGTTGGGTGCTAAACCCAGTCTTAATCCCATGAAATTCCAAATTGTAGAGGTTAAAATGTCAATGCGTGTCCATTGGGCAATAGTTGTTTGTTGTTTTATTTTTGTTCTTTCAATCTTGTCAGTATCAAAAGATTAGATGGAGCAACAGGCTGTGGTGGTGTTTTGCTTTCCTAACAAAATTAAAGCTCCCAGACAAAGAGGAATTCTTCTGTCTGAGAGTAACAGTACTGTATATTGTGCCAGAAGTCCTTGTTAAAATATGGACTGAAATTCTGGCCCTTTCCTCAGTCTGCAGAGAAGCAAAAAAGATTCACCTTGCCTTCCATTTGGCGGGTTCTTGCCCACATTTCCTTGGATATTGCATGTATACATATTAATAAGCACACTTTTAACTTCAGTCATCAAAATAATTCTAGGGTTCTAAATGCTTCTAAATCTGCATTACTCTTCCTGGTTTGGGTTCATTTTTTGAGGCACTCTTAGTAGCCTTCTGAAAAGAAGCAGGAAATTGGTGTTACTCGCCTGCCAAGCAGTCTTACCCCCCAAAATGAATTTATCAGTTAAGGTAAAAGTGTATTCCTAGTGGTTGGTTGTTTAGATACCCACTGTCATTCTACAGCCAGCGTAGGAATGTGAAATTTGGATGATTCACTTGCATGGTTGTAAAATATTGTTCATTTTAAACTGTTTCAAACTGCTGTCTGTTCTTTTGCTCTGCGTAATGTGTTCTATCTGAAAGCCTTAACTGTTTTAAATTTTATGCTAATTATGAGATCTTTTAAACTGAGCAAGGTCTGACTTGTGCTATTTACTGGAAATATTTTTCCTTATTTCGTGGCTTGCTTTTCTTTTTACAAAATATTTGCAAAATTACCTTGCAATTCACTGAAACTGCTGATGGTAGGTGTTGATTACACTGCTGCAGCTAATGAATTATGCCTGGTTTGGTTGGCATTGCTCGCATGATAGATTCTTCAGATGGGCAACGATATAATGATTACTGCTTACACTGTCTGTTTACTCTTGCACTTCCTTCAGCTTGGACAAGGACAATAGGTCAGTTTTGCTTTCCAGTTCTAACCTTTTTTCAACTTCTATGAGACCAAAAACTAGTCTTTTAAAGGCTCATATGCTGCAGGCAACCAAAAAAGCTGCATTTAAGGATATTTTAGTATTATTTAAAATAAAGTGCAGGGGAAAAAAAATCGATTAATTTTTACAATATTTGTACTTCATCTAAGCTATTCTTTACCTCTTGAACCAAGGACTTAACTATTTGGAAAGAAAAAGTATAGAAATTCATTGCTGTCTCCTTTTTATTAGATAAGTACTTTCTAAAAAGCCACCATCCTCACTAAGTGCCAAACCTCACCCACGTATTAATTTCCTGAAGTGTTTGTAAGATCACATTTTATTTTGAAGAAGCTGATGACAATCTTCATGATAGAAATAATATGGTGCAAGTTAAGACTGTACCAGTCCTTACACAAGAGTTTAGATGAGGGTAATTCAGTTCAGAAGCAAATGGAACAGAGCTGCAGATGTGAGGAGGCCTTGCTTTGTTGAAGTAATCGCTTGTAGTGCTGAGGTGAGCAGGGAGAGCAGTTGTTCCTACTCACTGATGCTTCAGTGCACAAATCCTTTCTGTACTTCAGAGCTTCTATACTTCAGCTGAACTTCTTACCCAGTTCACCTCCCAATCACGTCCATGAAGTCCTAGTGCACATTCTTACAGCTGTTTGAGATTTCCAGATAAGTTTCAAAGTACGGTGAGAAGTCAACATAGCTGCTGCCCCTACTGAACAACGAATTGCTGGCCTGAGTCACGTGTGTATGCACACAGGTGATATAAGCTGGACCTAGATTATCCACACCTCTTGTTTTCCTCTCAGACCATTTGATTGCATCATTACTGTGGTATTGCATGCTCTGCTCCAAGCAGAGGAAGATAGACCTGGTTCATTTGGTCATTGCGTTATTACCTGTTTTACCACTGTTATTAAAATCCATTACTGTGCATTCCCGTTGTGTTTTAGGCTGCCATTGTATTTGCAGTGAAATATTTAAGTGCTGAGCATACCTAAATTATGGCTGCTTCTGATCGTGTTTTAATACTTAGGTTGGTGCCAGAAGCAGCCAAAAGTTTTAGGTTTTGTTGGGTTTGTTTTGTTTTGTTTTACTATACTACTTGCTGGAAGATTGTCATGCCTTTACAACTAGAGGAGAGTTGAGCTACTGCACACTGTATTTACCTGAAAATTTACTGCTGAGTTTGAGGGCGAGGTGATCTCACTGATTTAGATGTCACTGTTATCTAAATTACTTTTTGTTGCTGTTGTTGCTGATTTCCTGAAATTGAGCAAGTAAAAAAGGTGGGAGAGGCAGGGAAATACTGTGGTGATCCTCCTGGGCCCACCAATAAAGAAAGAAAAACGTGAACTGCAGAGAAAAGGAAGAAGACAACAAAGCCGCCACGCTAGAGTGAGATTAAAGGTGTGTCTTCAGTGTAGCTCAGGTTCCCGGTTTGGATGGCACCTGCAGGACTGTAGTTCTGTTGTTTGCTGTAGTCTTCAGTTGCTTCCAGACCCAAGGCTTTTTTTTTTGTAAGGATGGTACAGGTTACATAGCATTGATAAGTTCTGCAGCATCTGTAAAACCTTAAGTTTACCACAAACTGCCACAGAGAACTAGAGTTCAGAGAGCATTTGAGAACTGTTGGTCTCATGACACAACATCAAGCTGCTGTTGGCGTATTTGTTTATTACAGTCAACTTTTGCTCACGGAGGAATTCTGTAACCTGTTCTATAACTGCTTTATGCTGAATTCCTTGTGTTTTCTCCAAGCATTTAGTTATAGCCTCTGTCCAGCAAGACTGGAGACTAACAGAATTATTTCTCCCAGTAAGAAATAGGAAAACCATTTTTGAGAACTTGAGGAAGAATATTATTTTATTATTGGTGCTGGGATTGGGAACTTCTGTTTTGTAAGGTGCATCATGCTGGCTTTCGCTTGTCTGCCTCTCATTTTTCACTTCCAGGACTTCATTTTTAGTTTTATGATATAATAGCAATGTGCTCCAATTGCAGAAGATTTGTTTAGAGTAGGACTTAATCCCAGTGCTGTGTACTGAGAAGCTGTTTGCTAAGGCTTCCTAGACCCTCAATCTCTTCAATTCAGTCACAGCGATTGTGATGTTTTTGCACAGCACTTGGTCATTTTTGGGCCAGGCCACAGTGCTCACCTAGCTGCCTCAGCACCAGACCTGTGACTCCCAACTGTCACAGATGTAAGGATCTTCAACCCTGGATTCTCTTTCCCTATTGCTAACTTTAGAGGCTGGTATATATGTGGGTTGAGTGCACAGTACAAATACCTACTGCTGGCATTGGGAAAATAGAAGAAATAGTTCAACTGCTTGAAATCAGTTTGTTACACAGCACAGGTGTGCAACTGCCTCGTTAGCAGAGGTACTGAAATTCACAGTGTCACTGTCATCAGAACATACAGCTGATGTCTTCTGAAAATTGGGGTGTGCCAACTTCTTCCTGACAAAGTGGTGCTTGTATCATTTAAACAACTTAGAAAGCTGTAACCTTTTCTTGCCCTCTGCCTAGAAATAAAAGGAAACAAACTTGAAAGAGCAGTAATAACAGGGATGCTCTTACCATGTACTTGAAGCTTTTAGTCACTTCTTCCTGCCTCTTCTTTATATCTGTACATGGTCCTTAGGTCTGTAGCCCTTGTTGTCTGAGTTATATTTAGCTTAGGTGAAGAAAGACAAGCCAGAAATCCTTTCCTTAGAGAGAGGAGAGAGTGATTAAAAGGCTTTTATAAAGTTGGAAGCTGTCTGATCTGAGGAGAGGCTGAGGGCTCTTGGTTTATCTAGTTTGGAGAAAAGGAGTCCAAGAGGCAACCTCATGGCTTACCACAACTTCCTGAGGGGAAGCAGAGAGGGAGGTGTCGAGCTCCTGGGAACTGAGGACAGGATGCATGGGATGGCACAGAGCTGCACCAGGGGAGGTTCAGACTGGACATTAGGAACCTAAATTGCTTTTACCACGAGGATGGTCAAACAAGGGAACAGGCTTTGCTATGGAGGTGGTTAGTGCCTCGTGCCTGTCAGTCTTCAAGAGGCTTTTGGACAGTGTCCTCAATGGTATGCTTTTTTGGTTAGCTATGAAGCAGTCAGGCAGTTGGACTAGATGATGTTTGCAGGTTCCTTCCAACTGACATATTCTGTTCTGCATAAGTATAGATATTTCTTTTCCTGAGGTTTTGTTTTTTGGAGAGCCTTTTTAAAAAATATGAGGAATCCCATAGAATTGTATGGTTGATAACTCCTCCCAAGTCTATATTCCAACCATTCATCTTCCACAAATGAAGCTTTTTCATTAAAAAAAAACCAAACCTACATAGCTGTAAACACTTGGTGTTAATTAAATTCAGTAAAATAAATAGGCATTGTATAGAAATATATAAGTGGAAATATTTTGATGTTCCTTTGTTCTGTGTGTTTTACCTCTTATCTCTGTCATTTCCTGTTTCTGTCTCCTATTTTCTGTCTACACAAAACTGCTGTAGGCCAGTGTTACGTGGTGGGTCAGCTGCTACCACTTCCTCTAACCCTCATCATGACAACACCAGGTAAAGATTTTGTTGTTACTGTCAGTTGCGATCCACTAATTTAATGGATCACAGTGCTTCTCCATCTCCCCCCTCACCTCTTAAGGCATTTCAGGCCCTTATTCCTTACCATGGAACTTACTTGTATAGTAGATAGAACAATGCTGCAGAAGTTGTGCGGCCAGGAGAGGATTTTAAATTACATTAGCAATGTGCTTTGAGTGCCTCCTGTTTAATAGTGGTTGAATTTCGTATTGTTATTGCTAGAAAAGTTGGCCTTGCATCATGTTGTTTTTTTCCAGGTGATTTCAGTGACATGCCTATGAGTGTTAGTGGTAGCAGGATGTGTTTTTACAGCCATTATGTTGGCAGACTGACATCACTTCGGCGGAACTGGATGTAATCTTAAAATGTGAGGTCATGATCAGGATTAAGGGAATTCCCGTTTCACACTACGCTTTTCTGTTTTCATCAAAGTGAAGATACCAACTATGTGAAAATGTGTGTATTGAAATAACTTATCCTGGAGTTAGAATAAAGCTTTATCTGAGTCATTACATCAAGAAAACTGAGGTGTTTTGATAATAACCCTCTTTCTGAAGCATGCAGAATTCACCAAGCAGTGATGGCACCTGATTCTTTGTTTATAGCGTTCTCTGTCCTTTATCTAAAATATTAAGGTTCTTTTGACTGAGACCATTAATCTCAGTAGGTGGAATATTTGAATAGATACTGAGCATAAGATACCCACTTCTTTCCAAATCTTCATTTGGTTAGTTCAGATCTATTGCACATCTCTTTCAACTGTGGTGTTTTAGCTCAGGCAATTTTCAGCGTTCACTAAGCAGTGGAATAACTAGAAATAGTGTTGAGAGACCAAGTGATACTAAGAGATCTGTCTGTGTGGAGAAATTCCAGAAATATTTGAATGTGGAAAGCAGTGGACTCAGATTGAGCCAATCACCCACATAATACATCTTCATGCTTGATTCAGTCATCGTCCTATTGAAAGTACGTAACTCAGTAAAAGCCAAAAGGTCTGAGAATTCTCCTGCCTATCACCACCAAAAATACATCTACTAGAATGCTTATAAAATGCAATATTTGCTAAACTTTGTACGGATCAGGCAGCTAATTGATCTCTGTAACCTGATAGGTACGGTCTTTCCAACATGGATACCACACTTGAAGGAACACCGGACGACATGACTGTTGTAGATGCTGCTTCCTTAAGAAGGCAGGTATGTAATGTGTAACAGTTGATAATATTAAGAAAAAGCTGTAGTGGTAAAATAGGAAAGCAGGCTGTCTGTTGTAATATAGTGGTATGGCTGCAAAGGAAGCTGTGTAGTTGATGTGGTGAGATACGCTGTCTGTATCCCTGCTAGACTGCCTGCACAAATCAGTATTGTTCTGGAGGTCTGGGGAGTCCAACTCCATTTCTGCTCCTGCTTAGCAGGGACAGCAAGGTCTGATCACTAGCCACTAAAAAAAAAAAGATGGAAAGTTACATTATCAAGTGTTTAAAATCCATCAAGGACAATACTGATTTTGGATGCCTATTTAAGCTTCTTGAAAGTCTGGCAACTTTATTTAAACTATTAAAAGTGTGTGTTTATTTTTAGATAATCAAACTTAATCGGCGTCTCCAGCTTCTGGAAGAAGAAAACAAAGAGCGTGCTAAAAGGGAGATGATCATGTATTCGATTACTGTAGCTTTCTGGCTACTCAACAGCTGGCTTTGGTTTCGGCGCTAGACACAGCTCGGAAAGATTTAGTCCATCAAAATACCAACAGAATTTGCAAAACTCTGTTTCTGAATTGTATGCTGTTTTATAATTCATACACTGGAAACTTCCACCACAGAAAAAAAAAGCCTATAGAATTGCAGTGTTAAAGGGACACCTTGTTGTTCAGTTATGCTGTATTTAATAGATTTGCATTGTGAATACTTGCAGTATCCTCCTTTGCATGCTTCAATGTAAATATGGATCAGCTGGTTGAAATGAAGCTTGCTTTGTGCAATGTAAGGAGAGTGTCTGACAGGAATAATCACTGGATTTTTTTGTTGTGGTTGGGAGAGAACAAATCAAATTGGGTTTGGGGAAAAAATATCAACACAAAGTAATGAAATCTAGGTTTTATTGATCTGTTGTTAGATGCAAGTGAACATCATTGCACTAGTTCTCCTTCAGTCTAACTTGTATCAGAGGTGTGCCATATTCAAAGAATGTGTCCTGTTTCATGAGTATGTTCTAGTTTAAGGCTGTGTTCAGGTCAGATAATAAAAGGTCTTTGCTAACATGCAGGCTGTCCAGAGGTGTGTAATATCTTTTGTTTCTTTTTATTTTAGCTTTAATTTTGCAGATGTTTTTTCTATAAAATATGTTTTTAAGCGAGTCAATCTGAGTGATCAAAAGATGATGGAGTACAAAAGACCACTGTAGTGTATTTAATAAAACAAAGAAATAATTTAAAAATTTGCTTAGTATTATTTTAAGAAAGTTTGAGGATTTGTCTGAACTAGCAGCCTGGAAAGTAAGAGCCAGCAGCAGGTGGGCACCTGATAGCCTGCTGGAGGGATGCCTTGCCTGGCATGCTCTGGAGTTGCTCTGGGTGTATGTGGTTGAGTACATCTGTATGGGAAGCAAGCCCAGTGTCCCCACGTCCTGCAGTAGGATTAAACATCCCCACTTCAGCTGCGTGATCCACCTTGTGCTGCTGTCCTTGCCAGACTGCTCTGTGGGAGCTCTGAGCCACGCGCAGTGCTGCTGGAGCTCCTCAGCCTCCCTCTGTGTTGGTGGCTTCCAGGCTTTGTACAGCTGCACCTTCCACTTGGATGTGTGGCAGCCGCAGCCCCTTCCTCAACTGTACAGGAATCTTCCTAACAGTGTCAGTGCGTGGGAGAAAGTGCAGTGACAGCAGAACTGTGCTTCAGAGGTGACCTTTTGTAGAACAGCTGGGACCACTGTGCAGGACAACTTCTGGGCTCCATGTCTGGGACACGGACTGCTGAGAGATGATGATACGCAACAGCTGCAGAAATGAGGCCTCCTCCAGCTGAAGCACTGCCCAGCAGAAGCACTGCCTACTGGCCAGAAGAATCACCCAGCTCCTGTGCAGCCATGCTATTCTGTTTGGGAGCAGAACTGGGATGGGGCACGCTGGGACATAAAGTGACTGAGGAGCCCCCCTTGCTGTTCTCCAATGCCATGAGTGGGACATTTGCCTGGAAGACTGGAAAGACGGTAAATACATATGAAAATTCTCATTGTAGCTGCACAGCAACTGATTTTGCTGATGACTGACTGCTATTTGCACAGTATTTATCTGTGAGAATTACCAGTTGGCTGCCCAGGATAGAGGTAAATTGGATGGCTGAAGCAGCCAGTGAGATTTCCAACATCTGGCAGCCAGGACAGGTTGCTCTGTGGAAGACCTGGGTGCTTCACTGTGTGCCTCATGGACTGCATGCTGCTCTCATCCGTTCCATGTGCCAGCAGGAGCTCTGCAGGCTGTGCTGCCTGGCATCACGCGGCTTCTGCGCTGTCTTTGTGTGTCAAGTTGCTGTGCCTGCTTTTCTGAGTGCTTTTTTTCCTGAGTTTGGCTGCTTCACGTGTCGCTTTTTTGCATTTTTTGCCATATGGGCCCTGGCTGAGGGCTGCCTGCAGCCTGTGCTGTGTGTGCTGCACGTGCCTTGTCCTGAGTGAGGGCCGGCACGGAGCGCGTCGAGCTGCGGAGCGTCGGCGTGAAGCGGAGGATTCTGTGTGAACTCTCATCAACAGGGGCTGTGCCTGCTGCGTTTACAGAGTTGTTCTGGAACACAAGAAACAATAAAAGTTTCTTTTACGGGAACAAAAAGGCTCTCTGTCTTCCAAGTGAAACCCAAACAACAGCTCGGGGTTCGGCGTCGCTCACGAAGCCTTTCCCTCGCTGCGGCGGACGGACGGATGGACGAAGCCCTTCCTCCTCCGCTTCCGGAGCGCGCCGTTCTGCGCCGACTCGGAGCGTTTCCGCCCGGGGGACGCGTGAGCGCACGGACCTTCCGCCCCGCCACCGCCGCTATGGCCGCCGGGCTGCTGTTGCTGCGGGTCTCCCGGCGGCTGCTGGCCGCGGCCGGGACGGGGCGGCTCGTTCCGGGCTCCGCGCCGCGCCGCGAGAAGAAGCGGTGGCTCCGCGCCTATCTGGAGCAGCAGCGGCTGCGGGCGGCCCCGCGGCGGCGGTGAGAGCACGAGGGGAGGGCGGCGGGCGGCGGGCGGCGGGCGGAGGACGCTCGCGGTTGCGGAGCCGCCTCGTTCTGACCACTTTTCCTTCCTCGCCCGCAGCTCGGAGCAGCCCGGCTGGGATTACCACGCGGAGATCCAGGCGTTCGGCCACCGCCTGCAGGAAAACTTCTCGTTAGATCTCCTCAAAACCGCCTTCGTGAATTCCTGTTACATTAAAAGCGAGGAGGCGAAGCGCCGTGACCTCGGCGTAGACCAAGACGCCGTCGCCCTCAACCTCCGAGACAACGCGGAGCTTTCCGCCCGAGGGATGTCCTTTTCGCACTCCTACCTGACGCGCAGCTTCCAGGCCGCCCACCCCGACCTGCCCGCCCCAGGGGTGGCGGCGCTCGTCGCCTTCCTGACCGGGCGGCAGCTCGTGTCCCACGTGGCGCGCAACCTGGCGCTGCCCGACCTGGCGCTCTGCGCGCAATTCCCCGCGCCGCCGGCCGTGCTGCACGCCACGTTCTTCGCGGTGGTGGGAGCGCTGCTGGGCAGCAGCGGGCCTGAGAGAGCCGGGCTGTTCGTCAGGGTGCGCCGGCCTTTGGTTTCTTTTGTGCCGATAGCAATAAGTGGTCGTGTCGGGGGAGGGGGGGGGCGAAGTTAAAGGCAAAAAGTTCTGCACCTCAGTGGCCAAAGATCCAGAGAAGTTGTTTGATTCTTTCTCTGAAATAAAAAGGCTCAGGAGTGCAAAGATCCAAAGGTCTTTTCATACCAGAACGTTCAATTAAACTGTGGGGTAACAGAGTAGTTTGGGCAGCTGCTGGCCTTTCTCCCGTTTCACTTATTGCTAATGTTGGAATGGAGAAGTTATCTGCTAAAATCTCATTTCTGACACAAGGTGGGGGTCTGTGTAAGAGCCAGCAGCAGTTGCCAGACAAGACAGTGGCCACAATAGGTGTAAATTGCATGGCACTGCATGGTGCCTTCAGCTTCTGGCAGGACGCTGCGGACATCCAGTCTGCTGCTTTGGTTTCCCTTCTGAGTGCTCACCTCACGCTCAGAGCTGCCTGGCAGCACTGTGGAGCCCTCAGGCGGGTGCTGCTCCTTCAGGTGGGAGCAGTTTGGCTTGGTGTGCACACTGAGCAGCTCAGCCTGCAGAGCTCAGCAGCGCCTCCTGGTCCTGCTTAGCCGTGCCATAGCGCAGAGGCGGTTTGATCGTTCATTCCGGATATCTGCTGTCAGGTGCATTAGTGACTCGTATTGGATTTTTATTCACAGGCACTAGGAGCTAGAGCTGTTGTTTCCCTTCCCATTGATTTTAATTTCTAACTATTTTTCTATTTAGGATTTTTTAATTCCCCAACTGATTGGAAAAGACCTGTTTGAGATCTGGGAAGTCGTAAATCCTATGGGCTTGCTGGTGGAAGAATTGGCCAAGAGAAATATCTCTGCTCCAGAACCAAGAATTACCAGGCAGCTGGGGGTCAACACAGTTCTGCCACTGTACTTCATTGGGCTGTACTGGTTAGTATGGTATTAATTTAAATGGATTCAAGCTGGGGAAGAGGGGAGGACAGAAGATGGTCCATTTGTTTCTTTACCTGTGATCTTTGGTTATTACATAAAAAAAACATGCAGTGACTTCTGTGTAAAATCAACCACTTAAGCATTGTCAGGAGTAGAGCACAAAGACAGTCTTGGACTAAAGAGCTTTGAAATCTGAGTCAGACACCCTTCCTCAGAAGGGAAACCAGAGCCAGGATGTTCTGGTTGCTGTAGCATAGGGACTTTGCCAGTCACAGAACTGATGAGGTCTGGAAGGACCACAGCTGTATGCAGAGCTTAGAGAATGGTGAGGAGACATCAAGGGAGGTGGATTCCTTTTGAGGAATTTTTAAAATGCTTTCTTACTGGGGAAAAAGAAAAGATTGGTTAAGCTGACCAAAGTAAAGGATTTGCATGTTTTTAACAGGGCTAACAGAAACTGAACACTGAACAATCAGTGATGTGTTAGGAGTCTCAGTGAACAGAGTAGTGTTCTTCCAGGAAGAGCTTGTCTTTCTGATTTGGGTTTCTATTGCTGAATATCCAGTAGCTTACCTTTGCAAGAAAAAACAGCAGAAATGTCTGCACTGTTGCCTGTATATAGAAATTACCCTCAATATTGACAGGCTGGGGGAGAACACATTGAGCAGTACTGATCCATGATGTACAACCGTGCTCAGGATTCTGACGAAAATGTTTTGTTTGCTTTTTTCCCAGTGATAAGAAGATAATAGCTGAAGGGCCTGGGGAAACACTACTTGCTGCAGAGGAAGAAGCTGCCCGCGTGGCGCTGCGGAAGCTGTATGGGTATACTGAGAACAGGAGACCGTGGGATTACTCAAAACCCAAAGAAGGATGGACAGCTGAAAAGGCTATCAGCAGTAACTAGATAATAAAAGCTATGTCCAGTTTCTCTCAAGAATGAATGGCTTCCATGCTGAACATAGACACCTTTAGGAGAGCAAAGTTCAGTTTGATTTTCTGATCTGAAGTTCTTGGAATTTTCGAATTAAATATGGTTATAAAATAACTGAAGTCTTTTGTATAGTGTTTAATGTCCAGGCATTTTCCTAATCAGTGAAAGTTCTTTTTTCTTCCTGAATTTATGTATTTTGGCTGAGAAGTTTTTCCATAAATCACCAGAGATGGTTCTTAATGATGCTTAATAGCGTGTGTCAAAATCCATAGAAAAAAGCTTCTTGAGTGCTTCCTTGGGGCTGGTTTTGAGGGTATTGTTAATAAGATGAGTAGAATTTAATATGCAGCGTTGGTCTGTGAGTTGCATCTGGATCCATTTGTCCTTGACCTGATGAAAACAGAATGTGATGTCAATGGTATTGACGCTGGTGGTGATCCAATTCAAGAGGAAAGTAAATGGCAGTTAGAGATTTTACTGCTTGGATGCAGCTTGTTTTTGTTGGTTTTTTTTTCTTGCTGTACACATTGGTTTCTATTATTGGAATGCTCTCTGCAAGGCAGTATTCTTAATTTTAAAATCTGTAAAGAGGAAAATAAGGATTATGAGGACTTGTGCTGAAAGAAATGAGAACACTGCTGG